GTCCCATAGGTTTTGGACTGTTGTCTGTTCATTTTCATGTCTTTCCAGAAATGTTTTGATATCTTCTCTTATCTCATTATTGACCCATTCATTGTTTAATAGTGTACTGTTCAGTCTCCATGAGTTTGCAAGTTTTTGAAGTTTCTCTTTGAGGTTGATTTCGAGTTTCAAGGCCTTGTGGTCCTAGAAAAAGTTTGGTATTATTTCAATTTTCCTGAATTTGCTGAGGCTTGCTTTGTCTCTTATCATGTGGTCTATCTTTGAAAAATTGCCATGAGCATTTGAAAAGAATGTGTATTTTTCTTCTTTGGGATGTAAGGTTCTATATATGTCAGTTAAGTCTCTTTGATTCAGTGTGTCATTCAGCGCCGCAATATGTTTATTAATGTTTTGTTTGGAAGATCTGTCCATTTTTGACAGTGGGGTGTTGAAATCCCGTACTATCAGTGTGTTGCTGTCTATATCTTTTTTGAAGTCATCTCACAATTTCCTTATAAACTTGGGGGCTCCTGTATTGGGAGCATATAAGTTTACAATGTTGATGTCTTCTTGATAGATTCTTCCTTTAAGTATTATAACGTGCCCTTTTGGGTCTCTTTTTATGGCCTTTGTTTTGAAATCTACTTTGTCTGATACAAGTATGGCAACCCCGGCCTTTTTCTCATGCCCATTTGCTTGGAATATTTTTTTTCATCCTTTTACTTTCAATCTGTGTAGGTCTCTTGCTCTGAGGTGGGTCTCTTGTAGGCAGCATATGTGTGGGTCACGTTTTCTTATCCTTTCAGCTACCCTGTGTCTTTTGATTGGGGCATTTAGTCCATTCACATTGAGAGATATTACTGATAAAAACTTACTCATCTTTTTTCTTTGTACCTGTGTTCCTCTCTCTCTCATTCTTTTCCTTCATCTGCTTAAAGAGGCCCCTTACCATATCTTGGAGTGCTGATTTGGTAGAGATGTATTCTTTTAGTCTTCTCTTGTCTGGAAAACTCCGTATTTCCCCTTCTATTTTAATGGAGAGCCTAGCTGGGTAGAGCAGCCTTGGCTGTAGGCCCTTGCTTTTCATGGCTTGGAATATTTGTTGCCATTCCCTTCTGGCTTGTAGTGTTTCTGTTGAGAAGTCAGCTCCTAGGCGTATCGGGGCCCCCTTGTATGTTACTTTCTCCTTCTCCCTTGCTGCCTGGAGGATTCTCTTTGTCTTTGACATTTGCCAATTTAATGATGATGTGTCTTGGAGTGGACCTCCTTGAGTCCCTCTTGAGTGGGGTCCTCTGTGCCTCCTGGATCCATGAAAGCCTTTCTCTCCTCAAATTAGTGAAATTTTCCATCATTACTTTTTCGAGGAGGTTCTCTATCCCTTGCTCCTCCTCTTCTCCTTCTGGGATCCTTATTATACGGATATTATTGCGTTTCAGGTTGTCCTGCATTTCCCTAAATGCCTCTTCATTCTTTTTGAGCCGTTTTTCCATTTCTTGTTCTTTCTGGGAGCTTCTTTCTACCTTGTCCTCTATCTCACTGATTCAATCCTCAGCTTCATCCAGCCTGCTTTGGATTTCTTCTACTGTCTTCTTCAATTCAGAAATGGTATTCTTCATATCCTCTTGTGTCTTCTTGATAGTTTCTATGTCCTTTTCCAGGCTGATATAGTTTGCTGTAAGATCCTGATAGTTTCTCTGCAGTTTCTCATAGTTAGCTTTGAGCTGGCTGAGCTCATTGAGCTTCCTTAGAACCATTGTTTTGAATTCAGTATCTGATAGTTCCCTTGCCTCTATTTCATTTAGCTCTCTCTGTGAGGAGTCCCCTTTTCCTCTCATTTGGGGGGAACTTCTTTTTCTTCCCATTTTTGTGAGAGTCTGTTAAGTAATTTTGTCCTTTACTTTGCTTTGTGGGCCTGCCTCTGATGATGTCAGTTCTTGACCCTATAGGATCTTGGGTTGTTTGTTTCAGCCTTCCAGGAGTCTAATGTCTGTGTCTGACTCCTGCTTGGAGCAGCTCTGTGACTCCTTCGGTCAAGGCTGGCTATTTTTTGGGATCTCTCTGCACTCTCATGCAGGCTCCTTGAGCGCACTTCCAGCGCGGCAGGATCCCTCGTCTGCCTGGGCTCGCATGTGCTTGCCCCAGACCAGCGGGTTTATTCGCGACCTCGCGTACTCCTCTGGCCCCCTGGCCGGCGAGCTCTGTGGCACCCGTCAGTTTAGGGTCTTCTCTTGTGTATTTTCTCCGCTTTTGGCTCTTTGATTGCGTTGCTTGCCCTCGCCAAATGGGGACCAGAAATGGGAGGAAGTCAGCTCCAGGACTCTCCGGTTAATCCTGTCTGTGGTCTCTCCTCCAGGGACTCTGGGCAGCTCTACTAATTTTGTGGGCCGTTCCGCAATCACGGGCCGGGCGGGTCAATTTACGCCTGCCCTTGCCCCTCTGTGCACTCCCTCGCAGGCCGTATTGGTGCTAATCTGTGGGAGGCCTTGCTGGCCGGTGCAAGCATTCGCCAGCCTGCGCGGGTTACATACACGCTCGCCAACCCTCCCCGGTCACTCGGCGCAAGTGTGCGCGCCTGCACTGAGTGTTTTGGGGGTGTCTATTGTGCTTTTCGGCTTTTGGCTCTTTGGGGGTGTGGCCTCTTCCCGCGCAATGGAGACTACGGCAAGGAGAAGGAGTCGGGACTCCCCAGCTCCTCCTTCCGTTCTTTCCCCAACGCCTCAGTTTCTAATATCTCCTCAGGGATCTCTGGGCACTTCTGTGACCCATTCGGCCAAGGATCCACCACCTGTGTGGACTGCGTTTCAATCGCAGGCAGTCTGGTTCCTGCGCGCCCCTCTTCTGCCTCTTTGGGGGTGCGCCTTTCCAGCTCACAATGGAGACTACGGAAAGGGGGAGGGTTTCGGGGCTTCCTGGTTCCTCCTCCCATTCTTTCCCCAATGCCTCCGTTTCCAGACTCTCCTCAGGGGCCTCCGGGCAGTTCCCTGACCCCTTCAGCCAAGGATCCACCCCCTGTGCAGACTGCGTTTCAATCGCAGGCAGTCTGGTTCATGCGCGCCCTGCTTCTGCCTCTTTGGGTCGCGCCTTTCCAGCCCACAATGGAGACCACAGAACAGGGAGGGAGTCGAGACTCCCCGGTTCCTCCTCCCATTCTTTCCCCAAAGCCTCCGTCTCCAGTCTCTCTTCAAGGCTCTCCCTACCAGTCTGCACTCAGCCCCGCAGCTCACAAGCTGTGTGCGGAGCGCACAAAAGGCAGGTTAATTGATTCCCTTTTGCCTGAGCGAGATGGTAGCTGCAGAGTGGGAGGTGCGTTATTACCCGGGCTCCACTGGCCGCTGTATCAGTTCTCTCCACAAAGTTTCCCTCACCAGTCTTTTCCCAGGCACCAGCCCACCCTGCTGCCGCCTCTACCCAGAAATCAAGGAGGGTGGCTGCCACTGCAACATTTGCGTTTTCCCTTTAAAGGTCTCTTTGCATCCCCAGCCACCTGTCTCTGGCAGAGAGCGCTCCTAAGGTTTTCGGGGTTGTGTTTTGTCTGTCATTTCTTGGCTTTAGCTGCTGTAGTTTAGGGGTTCCTGTTTATGATTCAGACCCCGTTCTTCTCGGGGGAAGCTAACTGGCCGTTTCAATGTCCCTCTGGTGCCAGTGCCCATGGGCACCCAGCCCACCCTCTCGAGCCTCCATCGCACTTCTCACCCGTTGGAATGTGTGAGAGTAGAATCCACTGTCCGCGACACCAAGGCTTCTCTCCCACTATCGGTCCACTGCTTTCCAGGTGATAACTCCCTTATTTAGTTGCAATTCCAGTTTGGTTTTGGGAGGAGGTCAGCGTGACTCCCATTCACTCCTCTGCCATCTTCTCTCCCCTTAAGTTGATGTGTCTTGATCTCCTGACTTTGTGGTGTGAACTTCTAGGATAGGAGACCGCTGTTTTTTCTGTCTGAATCTGCCTCTGATGATGTCAGATGTTGACCCTGTCTGACCTTAGTCTGTTTGAGACTTCCAGTAATCTACTGTTTATGGCTGTCTCCTTCAGCTGTTAATCTATTCACTCTGCACTCAGCAGGCTGTCTTAGACAGCTCAGGGTGGGGTGGAGTCCCTCCTGGGGGCAGGGTTATTGGGTTCACTAATGCTGCTGCTGTATGGGGGAAGAGTCTGCATTGGGATTCCGCCAGCTACTCTCTCCCTTCTCTCCCCAAAGCCTCTGTCCCCAGTCTTTCTTCAATTGTCACCAGATGTCTCTGCGCCCCATTTAGCCAGGCATCTACTGTCTGTTGCTGCCACTCTGCCCTCAGCAGGCAGCTTAGACAGCACAGGGTGGGGTAGAATCCCACCTGGGGCAGGGCTATTGGGTCCTTTGATGCTGGTGCCACTCAAGGTGAGTGGTCTCTGACAGAGCAAGATGGCTGCTGCCACATGGGGGATGAGTCAGCACTGAGATCCCACCGGATACTCTCTCTGTTCTCTCCCCAAAGCCTCTTTCCCAGTCTCTACTCAGGCGTCTCTAACCCACTCTGTCCTCGCCTTTGCTGGAGACCATTGTAAGTGGCTGAAATTGAAACTTTATGCATTGGCCCTTTAAACTGTTCTTTGCATCTCCAGCTGCCTGTCTCTGGCAGAGAGCAACCCTGCTTCCCCTTGCAGCTGGCTGTTTTCTGTGTACCTTTTGAGCTCTTTTGCTGTGGGATAGAGATCCCCACCTTTGGTTTAGACCCCGCTCTTCTCAGGAGGATCTAACTGGCCATTTCAATTTCCTTCTGGTGCTGCTGCCCAAGGTTGCCCTGTACGCCTTTCAATTCTGTACCACACTCCTTACCAGTTAGATTGTGCTAAAGGTGATTCTTCTGTCTCTGAGGTTACAAGGTTCCTGTCTCACTACTGTTCAGTTGTTTTTTTCCAGTTGATTTCTCCCCATTCTAGTTGTAATTCCAGGTTGGTCCTGGGAGGAGGTCAGTGTGACTTTCACTCACTCCTCCGCCATCTTGATTCTCCTGTTTTGTTTTTTTTTCTTTTTGCCCTTTAGCCGGCCTCAGAGAGTGTGTTTGTGTCCATTTCTACCAGTGCATCCTCTGAACATCTCTACCTACTTATACATAATTCAGCATCCGGCAGAGGTGAGTAAGATTTTGTAAAATATACAAGTTGAAATAAAATATTAGTGCACAGGAGGAAACACACAGATGAACATACTCATTCCTTCCAGTGCTTTAGCATTTCTGGAAGTAAATTGATGATAAATGCTTTTTATTTGAGAAAAAATTTCTTCTCTTCATTTTGTTTAGTTCTTTTTTTGGAGTTGTGATCTGTCCTTTCATTTGAGCCATGTTTCTTTGTCTCTTCATTTTGGCAGCCTCACTGTATTTGTTTCTATGTATTAGATAGAGCTTGTTTTGACTCTGTGTCTTGGTAGTGGGGCCTAGTGTAGTCGGTGTCCTGTAGGGTGGTCCAGTGGCACAGCTTCCCTTATCACCCAAGTTGAGTACATGAGGTGTGCCCTCTGTGTGGTCTGAGAATTGTGGTTGTGCCTTGTAGTTGTGCCCTGGTTGCTGTTGGCAGATCAGTGGGAGAGATTTACCCAGGCCAGTCAGTAGCAAGAAGTGGCTGTGACCACTGACCACCAACCTCTGTCCTCCGTGGAGGACCAGCAGTGCAGTGGCAAGGTGGTGGTGCCCCAGTGTGGTCCTTAGCTGTCCACTGGGTGCGCAGGTGCTGGGATTTCCCAGGTGGTGCACACCAAGGTCAGTCCCCAACCGTGTTTTGCATGACGTACTCTGCCTGAGCTATAAAGCAATCTGAGATGGTTGCTACTTGTGCTGGGCTTGTAGATTTCCAGGCCTTAGCCAAACTGTCAATCTAGGCTGGCTGCTGCCAGTGCAGCACCTGGGCCACTTCGCAAGAGGTATTGGAGGCTCACTGAGGTTGGTTGGTTTGAGAAGATTCAGGAAGTGGTGAATCATGAGCCCAGAGCAGCCATTCATATGTAAAAGTTTCTGTTTACAGCTTGGGTGGGTCTATAGGTTTGGTGGGAGGGAGTCTCAGGGGATCTCCAGGACAGGGCAAAGAGTGTCACCAAGGTGATGGAGTCTCAGATATGGCACCCACCTGCTAGCTTTGTGGCTCTGTGGGGGATGATTCAGAAAAGGGACAGTGGTCTTTCAGTCTGGGAGAGAGCTGTCCCGCCACTCTCCCAGACTGAAAATGTTGTCTTGATGCCAGATACTTCACTTCCTCTCTGTATGCCACTGGTCCCTTTCAAGCTGCTACCCAGGTGCTGGAGCTCAGAGGGAGTAAGTCTGAGAAGGTAAGTGTGTGCGTGGCTTCTTTAAGAGGAACTGCTTGTCACTCAAACAGTTTCTTCCACGAATTGAGTCCCCACTGGTATTTGCAGCCAGAAATTATGGGGACTTATTTTCCTGTCACTGGAACCCTGAGCTGGGCAGCCTAGTATGGGGCTGGGACCCCTTGCTCTCAAGATCTCCCTCCTGGATTTTTATCCACCACACATGGATATGAGACCAGCTCGTTCTGTATCTCCTATCAGTCTGGATGGATGTGGTTTCTTTAATTCTGTAATTGTCACACTCGCATTCAACTCTATTTCTGATGGTTTTAAGTGATGGTTTTTCTATAATTTAATTGTAATTTTGATGTGGTTGTACAAGGAGGCGAGCTGTGTTTACCTATGCTGCCACCCTGACTGGAAGTCTGTTTTTATTTCTTAATAATTTTTATTTTCAATTAGAGTTAACATACAATATTATATTAGTTTCATGTGTATAATATAGTGATTAGACATTTATTTAACTTAATGAAATGATCACCTTGATATATCTAGTGCCTGTCTGATGCCGTAATTATTACAATATTATTGGCCATATTCCCTATTATGTACATAACATCCCCATGAGTATTTTGTAACTGCCAATTTGTACTTCTTAATCCCTTTCCCTTTTTCACCTGTCTCCTCAATCTCCCTCTATCTGGCAACCATCAAAATGTCCTCTCTGTCTATGAGTTTGTTTTTGTTTCGTTTGTTTGTGTATTTTGGTTTTTAGGCTCCGCATATAAGTGAAATCATATGGTGTTTGTTTTTTTCTGTCTGACTTATTTCACTCAGTACAATACCCTCAAGGCCCATCCATGTTGTTGGAGATGGCAAGGTGTCATTTGTTTTTTATGGCTGAGTCATGTTCCATTCATTACGTATGTGTGACCACTTCTTCTATATCCATTTATATACTGATGGACACTTACATTGCTTCCATATCTTGGCTATTATAAATAACGTTGCAATGAACATATGATTGTATATGTCTTTTCAATGTATTGTTTTTGGTTTTTTTGGATGAATACCTAGAAGTGGAATTGCTGGGTCCTTCTTTGTATCTTATTATATAGCCTTTGTTTAAAAGTCTGTTTTGTCTGGTACAAGTAGTGCTATCCCAGAATTGTTTGTTTGTTTCCATTTTCATGAAATATCTTTTTATCATCACTTCACTTTCAGTCTGGGCGTGTCTTTTGATTTGAAGTGAGTTTCTTGAAGGCACCACGTATAAAGACTTGTTTTCTTATAAATTCAGCTACCTTATGTCTTTTGAATAGAGAATTGATTTACATTTAAAGTAATTGTTGATAAATATATACTTATTGCCATTTTATTATTAATACTTTAAATCTTTTTTTCCTTCTCAAGGATGTCTCTTTAACATTTCTTATAATACTGGTTTGGTGGTGATGAACTCCTTTTAGCTTTTTCTTGCCTGGGAAGCTCTTTATCTGTCCTTTGATTCTAAATGATAGCTTTGCTGGGTAGAGTAGTCTTGGTTGTAAGTCTGTGCTTTTTATCACTTTGAATATTTCATGCCAGTCCCTTCTATCTTGCAAAGTTTCTGTTGAGAAATCATTTGACAGTCTTATGGGAGCTCCTTTATAAGTAACTATCTGCTTCTCTCTTTCTGTTTTAACCTTTGGCATTTTAATTATGATGTGTCTTGGTGTGGACCTCTTTGGAATCATCTTGTTTGGGATTCTTTGTGCTTCCTGAACTTGTATGTCTATTTCCTTCACCAGGTTAGGAAAGTTTTCCATCAGTGACTCTCTAAATATTTTTTCAGTTTTTTGCTCTTTCTCTTCTCCTGGTTACCTTTATCATGTGAATGTTTGTATTCCTGATGTTGTCCCAGAGCCCACTTAAACTGTCCTCATTGTTTTTGGATCCTTTTATTTAAAAAAAAAATCTTCTGATTAGGTGTTTTCTGCTTTCTTATTTCCAAATTGCTGATTTGATTATTTGTTTCCTCTACCTACTATTGATTTCCTGTAATTCTCTATTTCAGTTATTGTATTCTTCATTTCTGATTGGTTTTTGTTAAACAGAATTTTTATGAATTTATTTGAGGCAAACTGATGACAATTGCTGGGAATCAAAACCTCGACAGAAAATGCTCTGGAAAGTGGCAGTTTTGCACCTTTTTTTATACATTATTATCAAAGGAGGAGGCATAAAGGGGTTACATGAAATCCCTTGGTGATAGATTAGGGAGGTGGAAAAAGCAAAGCAGGGAAACCTCTGGGATCGGATAAAAAGTGAAATGATAGGCACATACTTCCTTATGTAAGTGGGTACAGGATAGTTAACAGTCCACAATTAACATGATATCAGGGAATATTCTAGCTTAGGACATGACTACCCACTATGAACTGATTTTAGTTAAAAAGTTTTGATTTTAGACCACTTTGTGTGGTTTCTTTAGATCTCTGATTTGTAAGTCTGCCACATAAACCTCCCCTGAGCTTGTCAGGTTTAGTATGTGACTACATTTTGTCTACATGTACCCTTTTTTGGTCATAAGTTAACCCAAAAGGATGCATTTTATGACCAACCTGTTAGTTGGATAACGAGGTCCGATGATACTGGTAAGGCTCATTCCTAGGAAGTCTCAGTGTCATCATTTAGATTGCTGAATGATGGACCATTGGCGATGGGGCAAGGCTGTAACCATGGATGGAAGTCCAGGCTGAGTTTTTTCTCCAAAGTGAAAGGTAGGTAAATGGGAAGCAGTTGGGGCTTACGGGTCTTTAAAAAAAAAAAAACACTCTGGATCATTTCTACCCTCTGAACTATTATGATCCAAATTTTGTTGCCTGTCTCGCTTTTCTATATTTTGCATTTAATATAACATTCATTTATAGTTTGAGAGTACACCATACACCTTTTCAGTTTTCATAATCAGACCATGAGGTGGGTTCTATTTCCATTCTTATGTTTCCTGTCTTTTTGTTGAAGTTCTCACTGAGATGATTGAGCATTCTTATGACTAGTTTTTAAAACTCTGTATCTGGTAGATTCCTTGTCTCCATTTTCTTTAGTTCTTTTTTCTAGAGTTTTGTTTTGTTCTTTCACTTAGGACATGTCTCTCATTTTGGCAGCCTCCCTGTGTTTCTTTCTAGGTATTATCTAGAGCTGCTACATCTCTCAATCTTGGTAGAGTGGTGTTATGTAGTAGGTGCTCCTTGGGGCCCAGTGGCACAGTTTTCCTGCTTGCCTGAGCTGGGTGCTCTAGGTTTGCCCCTTTTGTGTGTTGTGTGTACACTGGTTTTGTATTGAGACTTAATTGCTGTTGCCATGCTAATGGGAGAGATTGATCTTCAGGCTGATTGGTTGTGAGGACTGGCCATGACTACAGTGGAAGAGTTTTTCTGTAGGGGCTGACCCTATGGAGCAGGATTTACTTTAGCCAGGCTCTGGTGCCTGTTGAGTATACCTTTTGAGCATGTCATTTGTGGTGTGGTGATAGTGAATGGTGCTCTTGATGGGAGAGACCTGGTTCTTCTTGCTGATGCATGTAAAGAATTACATACCAGCAAATCATCCTTCAGAAGAAAACAAGTCCAGAGCTTGGCTAGGCAGGCCTCTCGTGGTTCTCAGCACCATCAGCTGTGTTGCTGCAATTTCCAGTTCTTAATCCAAACCTACATGGCACCTTCTCATAGACCACTAGCAAGAGTCCTTTCTCCCCTTTCCTTTCCCCATGGTCTTTGCATTGTTCTCCCATGGTATGGGGCGAACCGTCTTCGAGTTCTCTTGCCCGTGTACTGTAACCGTAACCAGGGG